TAGGATGCTCGACTCCCAATCTGAGAGTCGCCGGGTTCGAATCCCCATCCCACCAAACATGCTCGCCCTTTTAGTCTTTGGGGCGTTATAATGTGACGATCAATCCCGCTATTTGTTGGTAATAGAGTATTCCAAGAGTGGATGGTGATGACAAGCTCCCTTATCTCTAGTCTTATACTGCTAAATTAGGGACGGCTAGTGCAGATAGCCCTCGTGTAGCTTTGCACGAAATTCCAAACAAAGCTGTATTTTGATCTAAAAAGCTGTGAAATTCGGAGCAGACTAAATACACAACCTACCTGCTTGAAATTTTGGTTCGAAAGAATGAGATGGCCTCCCAGCATTTTATAATGGCTGAGAAAACAATTAAAGGGAGATTCTGAGATGTCAATTGGTTATTCACATATTATATATTGAAGAAAGTGCATATAACGGACCATTTCCAAAAATCACAAACATTTAATCTGAAGCAGTGCTGCATTCAACATACCACGTGACACACAAATATCGATGTTTAACTGTGTTTTTCTAATATTTACTTCTAAATTAAGAAATTAAATAATGTATAATACTAAAATTTGAATGATAATCTACAGTTTCATATAAAACTTATTTTTTAGGTTTTATGTAAACAGTTGAATAACTAAAAAATCATGAATTACGATACTGATATCATAGAATACCACTTTTTTGGTACATGCGCGCGCAGGTGCCTGTTTTCGTACATGTGCGTGCAAGTGCGTAATTTGGTACATGCGCGCGCAGGTTCTTATTTTCGTAAATGCGCGCAAAGGTGCCTATTTTCGTACATGCTCACGCATGTGCCTATTTTCGTACGTGAGCGCGCAGAAGCCAATTTTGTTACATGCGCACGCAGGTGCATAATTTGGTACATGCGCGCGCAGGTGCGTAATTTGATACATGCACGTGCAGGTGCGTAATTTGGTACATGCGCGTGGAGATGCCTATTTTCGATAAAAGTGGTATTTTATGATATCAATGTAGTAATTTATCATTTTTTTGGTTATTTAACTGTATACATAAAACCTAAAAAAATACGTTTGGTATCAAACATTAGATTATAATTCAAATTTGAGTATTGTACATTATTCAATTTCTTAATTTAAAAGTAAATATTAAAAAAAACAGTTAAACATCGATGCAGCACTGCTTGAAATTAGATGTTTGTGATTTGTGGAAATGGTCTCTTATATGCACTTTCTTCAATATATGAGATGTGAATAACCAATTGACATCTCAGAATCTCCCTCTAGTGGTTTTCTCAGCCATTTTAATTTTTTTTCGAATCAAGATATCAGGCAGGTAGGTTGCGTATTTAGTCTGCTCCAAATTTCATAGTTTTTAAACCAAAATACAGCTTTTTTTAGAATTTCGTGCATAGCTATCTGCATTAGCTGTTCATAATTTAACATTTAAAGCTTGCCATCACCATCCACTGCCCACTTTTGGAATACTCTTTTACAGGATTGACTGTCACTTTATAACGCCCCCACAGCTAAAAGGGCGAGTATGTTTGGTGGGATGGGGATTCGAACCGGCGACCCTCAGATTGGGAGTCGAGCATCCTAACCACCTGGTCGAAATTCAGCTTAGTTACTTAGCTTGATAAATTATATGGTAACAATATAGTAATTTATGATTTTTTTGGTTATTCAACTGTATACATAAAACCTAAAAAAATTATTTTATTTCATATCCTTTACGTGCGAAATTATAAAAGGTTTAGAAACCTACGTCAAACAGCAACTGAGTACAAAGGTCGAAACTAGAAGAGATAATTGTTTGCTTCTGTGTTTTAAGAAAATTAAGTTTAATAACTTATTTCTGAATAATAATAATCTCTGATATATACATATATAATATATAATAGTTGAAATATCACTGTATTTTACTAAATACTAGTCTACTAAAACACAGCAAAGACAGGGTCACTTTGTAAAGCCTAAGGGTCAACTATATATTATTGAATACAGTTTATTTCATAATTTTTTATGTTGGTTACAAGATCGGTCAAATCTATCAAACCCCGTAGAGATTCGTTAGTGAAATTACCAGATAAAATATAAAGTTTTTCTTTATGAAACGTTTGATAACTATCTGGACATTATAAAGATTTCGCATGAGAAATTTTAAAATTTTCTGATGCATAAAAATATTTTTAATCTTAAAATAAAATTACTTTTACATGTTGGATAGGTAACAAGTGAAAAGAAAAAAAAGGTATGAGAAATTTTGCTTAACAAATCTTGAGAATTAATATTTTGAGTACGAAAACATTGTAATATTAACAGATAATCTGCCAAATTTCGTTAACATACGCTTACTAATTTAAAAGTTATAGCATGAAAACTATAACAAGCACACAATGGTTACGAGGTCGATCCGATGGACCGAGTCCGTGTTGAAAGGGTTAAGGTAATAGTATACTAACATGAACTTCAAAGTTTGAGGCAACACAATATTACGCGTTCAAGAGTAAATGTATTAATCAAAAGTAGAATAGTTAGTGTCATAATTTCTCAAAGTGTTCTGTATCACTCGAAAGTTAATGTTGCAACACAACAGTGTTCAGTCGCGTTTAAAAGTTGATGTAGCAACAAAACGAATAGTTCAGTTGCGCTCATAAGTTAGTGGGTTTGCAATATTTAAAATGGCGCCTTTTAGCGCTATTATTTCAGAATAGAATATTATGCTAATCAGATACCTAATGTCTCTATATCAGAATTCCTAATGATATTATTGGAGAAATACGGGATCAACCACTAATGAAATATTTCAGACCTGTTTGGTTGTTTTTTAGTTAAGTGCAAATTTTTACAATGAGCTATTTCTGCTGTGCCCATCACTGGTATCGAAACATGTTATAAGTCCGCAGAGTTACCGCTGTGTCAATGGGGGGCTTTTGAGACTTAAGTAGAATAAATATTGCGTTAGCAAATTTAAACTAGAATTATGCACAAGAAAAAAAGAAAGATAAATAGAGCAACGAAAACATCAGGACTGTGTCTGAAAAGTTAATGTATCTGTTTAATCAAGTAAGGTAAACCGAACTTTAAAGAAGCTGATTATAAAGAAAATTATGATTTTTAGCCTGAAACACACTTTATTTGCACGTGGGCTAGACGACCAGTTCAGATACTGCATTATCAGTTGGAGCCACTGACCAAAGGGAAGACATCCATTCAGCAACACTTTCCGTCACAAGGACTTCTTGACTGACTATTAATTTTTAACATATCTACAGCTGAAAGCATAGATCGTGTTCAGCAGTATAACGCCTCAAACTCTGTACAGTTAAAAAATAAACATATAAAAAGTTTATTAATATAATAACTTTAGAATTATTACATCTTTGGTTAAAATGTTATTCCATTATGCCTTTTCATCTTCTCTTTTATTTCCAATATTTTCAATTATGCAATTGTCTTACAATTATATTTATATATTTCCTATACGATATAGATCTAGGCAACATACGTTTACTTTTACAGTTACTAATTACCAGATATTTAATACAATAATATACATATAATCAAAGACCCTGCTACGCAAATGTGTCTTTTCACTTCTTTTTAAGGAAATATCAACATAAACCAGGCAAAGCTCTTGTAGAGAAGACTCAATATTAATAGGCTAAGTAGTTTAGGTTAGGTTAGGTAGTTTAGGTTAGGTGAGGTAGTTAAGGTTAGGTTTGGTAGTT